ACACAATTGCTGAAGGGGTGCTTGGACTATTCTGCATTACCTCACTTTGCTATGCAAATACCCACCATCACAACACTCTCTTGCTCAGTGCTGTGGTGGGGCCGTATCCAGTCTCACAGAGGCCTGAGAATGGCTGGTGAGATGGAAAGGTGCTAGTGCCCCATGATCCTGCTATCTAAGAAGAGAGAGGGCTTGGAAATGAAGTCCCTAGACATGGGTCTCCCTAAGGGGATCTGTATGGCTTCAGGGAATACAGGGCCCAGAAGGCATAGCATGACAGCACTGGGCAGGGGGCACTGGGGCCTTAGAGGGATGCTGCTTTTAGGTCCTACAACAGCCTAGGAAGAATGACCATGCCTTCTAAACCAAAAATCAGAAAATATAGCCTGCTAAGGAATTTTGGTGCTATTGACACAGAGACTAGTTTAGATATTGATGTGCTGATATTTCTTGGTTATACGGATGGAGAAATGAACAGAATGTTTTAAACAACACTTCTAGCAAATCCAGGCTGGAGGGTAACTGTATAGCATGGACTGCAGATAGCCAAAGAGATAAAGGCAGGCTATAGGATCTATTTAGGGTACCTGAAGACGGTAGAAATAGTCCAAAGGTATAAGCATGGGAGTCATTTCAGTCTGAAACCATGGGATCAATCAGACCTGGAAAGAAAGGGACTCTGTTTCTTATTTATTTATTTATTTATTTAGAGACGGAGTCTCACTCTGTCACCCAAGCTGGAGTGCAGTGGTATGATCTTGGTTCACTGCAACCTCCGCCTCCTGGGTTCAAGTGATTCTCCTGCCTCAGCCTCCTAAGTAGCTGGGATTACAGGTGTGTGCCAACACACCTGGCTAATTTTTTTGTATTTTTAATAGAAATGGGGTTTCACCATGTTGACCAGTCTGGTCTCAAACTCCTGACCTCCTGATCCACCCACCTCAGCCTCCCAAAGTGCTGGGATTACAGGCTTGAGCCACAATGCCCGGCCTGGGACTCTGTTTCTTAAAGCAAAAGGGCTCAGTGGTAGGGCTGGGTTGGAGTAGGGGGAGGACAGTGTTGGCTTACTTACTGGAACTGGGGCCTAAAACTGAAGAAATCAATAAACAAGAAGAATGGCTCTAAAAGCCTGGGCCAGAAAGAAAAAAATGTGTAAAACTGGGGCAGTTTCTTTTCCTCAGCTCAGTTTCCTCATTTGTAAGATAAGGCCACGAGAATGAATGATCATGGAAATCCCTTCCAGACCTCACATTCCTTACTATGACTTTCATATCCCCTGGGGCTGAGTACATTGTTTAACCCATGGTTGGCACTTACATCCAGGCCTTCTCAGGGGACCAGTGGACTTTCTCCCTCACTAGGGATCCTTGTCTCTGTCCCCAACTCCTGGCCCATAGGCATCTGGCTATATACATAAAACAAGCAAGTGCCTTTCCATATTTCTGAATGCTCAAGATGTCTCATCATGCTGGGTGTGGTGGCTCAAACTTGTAATCCCAGCATTTTGGGAGGCTAAGGTGGGCAGATCACCTGAGATCAGGAATTTGAGACCAGCCTGGCAAACATGGTGAAACACTGTCTCTACTAAAAATACAAAAATTAGCTGGGCGTGATGGTGGGGGCCTATAATCCCAGCTACTTGGGAGGCTGAGGCAGGAGAATTGCTTGAGCCTGGGGGTGGAGGTTGCAGTGAGCCGAGATTGCGCCACTTCACTCCAGCCTGGGCAAAAGAGCAAGACTCCGTCTCAAAAAAGAAAGAAAGAGAGAGAGACAGGAAGGAAGGAAGGAAAGAAGGAAAGAAGGAAGGAAGGAAGGAAGGAAAGAAGGAAGGAGAAAGAAAGAAGGAAGCAAGGAAGGGAAGAGAAAGAAGGAAGGAAGGAAGGAAAGAAAAAAAAGAAAGAAAGAAAGAGAAAGAAGAGAAAGAAAGAGGTGTCATCATATGGAGATGCAGGGGAAGGGGAAGATTCTGGATAACTCTTGAAAGGTAACATCATTGGAAGAGCTTTACCCATTTGGTTGGGTGTTGAACTGGATGTAGGAGCAGCACTCAGTGGTATGTGCAGGTGGAAAAATAAGGCAATTTGCTTGTCAATATATCAATAGGTATATCAAAGGTGTAAGGTGGCTGCTAATATATTGAATTCAACTTTAGGCTGCAAACATAGATTTAGGTAAAGGAGGTGACAACCCAGTTCTACTCTGAGCCAATCACACAGTGGATGTCTGGAATGTTAGATTTAGTGGACTTTGCTCTCTCAAAAAAATATACACACAAATCAAACTGTGTAGTGAGGAAAGTGAGGGCACTCACTTTCAATACATCAATAAGGAACAGGGGCAGATGAGAACCTGCAGAACTATCTGAGAGAGGACATCACTATACTCAGATATCTGCAAGTCTTGTCATGTAAGAAGAATGAGATGTGTTTTGTAATACATGTAGAAGATAGAGGGAAACAGACTTCAACATAAAGCAAAGCAAAACTTCCTCAGTCAAACTGTCCAAAGATGAAATCAAAAGCCTTAGAAGTTAGTAAATTCCCCACCCCCTTGGAGAAAGGAGAATGGGATTCATATTTGGTGTGCATCTAGGCACTGAAATACAGTATGTGCTTGCCATAAATTATCTCATTTAATCCTCATAATAACCAATGTGAAGATTGGGGTTCAGAGAAGTAAAGCAAATTGCTTGAGGTCACACAGCTACTGTGGATTTTATTAAACACAAAAAACCCATGTTCTTTCTACATCAACAACCAGGAGCCTCTAGGCAAGGATGCTAGCAGGGGGCACTTAGTCATGATTGCCTTTAAGGTAAGTAGGGAAGTAGGCAGTCCTGAGAGCTTTAAATCCTAAGTCACTCAAGTGAAAAGAGGAGGAATCAGGATGTGTATTAAGGTGACAGATGAAGGTTTTATTCCTGTGCCAAGCCAGTGAAGTCACATGAAATGGATTGTCTTTAGCTCACTTAATCTGGATTAAATTTATCCTTAGATTTTTTCCATGGTTAAATGCAGTTCTGTAGTTTCAATGAATGGGTGTACACGTGCATATCTCTGTGTGTGTGTGTGTGTGTGTGTTGTTGCATCACGTGATTGTGGGGAGAGGGGCTGTAGGAGAAACGCAAGGGAAAGGGCAGTAAGCATCAGAGACTAGGTCTTTATAGTGAAATTCTAATTTCTCAAGGCAGTAGTAGCTGAAAATTACCTAATCAAGTGACTAGGCAACAGAGCCAAGAAGGAGGCCTTCTGTAAGTGGGAATTTATGAATAATGAAGATTGATTATGTTCCCTACCTATTTAAAGTATGGCCCTCTTTTTTCTTCTTAGTTGACCTCATCTCCCTCCCTTATTCTTCGTCATGGCTGCAGAATCATAGGCCCTTGGAATCTCAGGCTGACCTGCCCTGTCCTAGACTTCCTGAACCTCACAATCTCTCAGTTGCCTCAGCTGCAAAATGGGGAAAATAATACATATCTCATGGGGTTGTTGGGGGATTAAATGAAATAGCACCTGTCCCCTCCATAAAGCCACCACAGAGGAAGCAAAAAAAGGAAATATTATGAAGAGTAATTCAATATAGGCTATCTAGACAGAGGTGGGCAGCAGCACCTTGCCCTCCTCCACCACCACGGTGCCCAGAACCTTAGTCAGGACTGACTTCTCTTGGGGGTGGTATTGTGTTAGATAAACCAAATAAGAAGTAATAGGACTAAACACGCCTGCTGTAAGAGAAGGCTCATGTGCTCCTAAATCTTGCATGTCATTGGAAAATTCTCAAGAAAAAGGAAAGGGATAGTTTATGTTATAATGATTGGTCCACGAGTCCAATTTTAGTGATTTGTCTTCACTGTTTTCGAAACCAAATTTGTTTTTTGTGCAATCACATTTAGTTTTTCTAAATAGTGACTTCCAAAACCTTTAAAAAGCATTGAAGGTGCAACTGCTACTTTTTGAGGTTCCTCAAAAAATTAAAAATAGAACTACTATATGACCCCAAAATTCCATATATCCATAAGAATTGAAAGCAGGGTCTTGAGGAGACATTTGCACACCCATGTTCACAGCAGCACAGCAGCCAGGAGTTGGGAAGCAAGCAAAATGTGCATCGACAGATGAATAGGCAAACAAAATGTGCGGGGGGTGTGTGTGCATAATATTATTCATTATCCTCATGATCACATCATTACCATTCCAAAGGAAGGAAATCCTATCGTATACTACTTGAATGAACCTTGAGTGCATCATGCTAAGTGAAATAAGCCGATCATAAACAGGCTGTTACTGTATGATTCTATTTCTATGAGATATTTAAAGTAGCCAAATTCATAGAAACAAACAGAATGGCAATTGCCAGAGGCTGAGGGGAGAGGGGGAAAAGGGAGTTGTTTAATGGGCATAGAGTTTCAGATTTGCAAAATGAAAATTTCTAGAGACCTGTTTCACAACAACGTGAATATACTTAACACTACTGAACTGTACACTTAAAAATCAATAAGATGATAAATTTTATGTTATGTGTTTGTTTGTTTTGAGACAAAGTTTCACTCTTGTTGCCCATGCTGGAGTGCAATCTCAGCTTACTGCAACCTCCACCTCCTGGGTTCAAGTGATTCTCTTGCCTCAGCTTCCCGAGTAGCTGGGATTATAGGTGCCCTCCACCACACCTGGCTACTTTTTTGAATTTTTAGTAGAGACAGAGTTTCACCGTGTTGGCCCGGCTGGTCTCAAACTCCTGACCTCAAGTGATCTGCCTGCCTCGGCATCCCAAAGTACTGGCATTACAGGTGTGAGCCACCATGCCCGGCCTGTTATGTGTTTTTTACCACAATTTTTAAAAAATGAAGAGAAAAAAAGCATTGAGGACCCAAAAAGTCAAACTGGATTGATGCTTAGTCACTAGACACAACACCCTAAGTTCTGTTACTGCCAACTTTTCCTGACCATGCAGGAATCCATATTTAATAAATATACAATCCTGTTCTGTTTGCCTCTCCATAGGTGTTATCCACGTGACCAAGGAAGTGAAAGAAGTGGCAACGCTGTCCTGTGGTCACAATGTTTCTGTTGAAGAGCTGGCACAAACTCGCATCTACTGGCAAAAGGAGAAGAAAATGGTGCTGACTATGATGTCTGGGGACATGAATATATGGCCCGAGTACAAGAACCGGACCATCTTTGATATCACGAATAACCTCTCCATTGTGATTCTGGCTCTGCGCCCATCTGACGAGGGCACATACGAGTGTGTTGTTCTGAAGTATGAAAAAGATGCTTTCAAGCGGGAACACCTGGCTGAAGTGATGTTATCCGTCAAAGGTTGGTGGGATTTTCTGATTTTACTTTAGGCCGGCAGATTCTTAATGCCCTTAAAGACACATGGCTATTGATTTAGGTGAAAATTTTACCAAAGAGGGATGTAACTCACTTCATGTCTTGGGGTTAAGTCTCTAGTTGTACGATAAACCCTAACCGGTTTCTAAAGATGTCCTGGAAATATCTGTTAATGTGCATTTTTTGTTCTTTGACAATCCAAGTTCATGACAATCATCCTGGGGCACTGTAATGACCTAAAGAGCCTCTCAATCACCAAGGGGCATCTTTGACTTGATATAGCCTTGCTACTAACTGCACTTGACCCAGCAATATCTGCTTGTGAAAGTACGCTGAAAAGGTAACGGGGCTGGGTATGGTGGCTTATGCCTGTAATCTCAGCACTTTGGGAGGCCAAGGCAGGCAGATCACTTGAGGTCATGAGTTCAAGATCAGCCTGGCCAACATGGCGAAACTCCGTCTCTACTAAAAATACAAAAATTAGCCAGACGTAGTGGCGCATGCCTGTAATCCCAGCTACTCTGGAGGCTGAGGCAGAGAATTGCTTGAACCTGGGAGGCGGAGGTTGCAATGAGCCGAGATCACACCACTGCACTCCAGCCTGGGTGATAGAGCAAGACTCCATCTCAAAAAAAAAAAAAAAGAAAGAAAGAAAAGAAGAGGTAAAAAGAACAATGGAGGCATAAAATCTCTTTCAGGTAGTATGTGAATGTCTATTACTATGGCTATTTTACTATTATATTCTAATATTTTCAAAGTGATCATTTACTTATTGCATATTTGAAACTCTAATCTGGCAGTCAGTCCTGAAAAGTTAGATGTTAGAGAATTGGGCCAGGCACGGTGGCTCAAGCCTGTCATCCCAGCGTTTTAGGAGGCCAAGGTGGGTGGATGGCTTGAGCTCAGGAGTTCGAGACCAGCCTGCCCAACATGGTGAAATCCCATCTCTACTAAAAATACAAAAATTAGCCAGGGGCGTGGTGGCTACTTAGGAGGCTGAGGCAGGAGAATCATTTGAACCTGGGAGGCAGAGGTTGCAGTGAGCAGAGATTGTGCCACTGCACTCCAGCCTTGGTGACAGAGCAAAGACTCCGTCTCAAAAAAAAAAAAAAAGTAGACTACAGAGGAGGGTGAACATTTCCCTAGTGGTAGAGACTCTGTCTTAAAAAAAAAAAAAGTTAGAGAATTGAATGCATAATTAATTCCTGCCACAAGGAAAAAAACTAATCTATGAATCATAGCCCTATTTATCTACGTACTGTGGAAGGCAAGCATTTCTGGTCTCAGAAAGAAAGGCTTTTGTAACCGCCCAAGCGGTTTACCTTGCCTGCTGCCTAGACAGAGCCGATTCACCAAGACAGGGGAATTGCAACAGAGAAAGAGTAATTCATGCACAACTGGCTGTGCGGGAGAGCGGAGTTTGATTATTACTCAAATCAGTCTCTCTGAGCATCTGGGGAGCAGAGTTTTTAAGGATAACTTGGTGGGTCAGGGGAAGACAGTGATCTGGGAGTGCTGATTGGTCAGGGATGAAATCATAGGGAGTTGAAGCTGTCTTCTTGCACTAGGTGGGGGCCACAGGATCAGATGAGCCAGTTTATTGATCTAGGTGGTGCCAGCTGATCCGTCAAGTGCAGGGGCTGCAAAATAGCTCAAGCACTGATCTTAGGAGCAGTTTAGGGAGGGTCAGAATCTCGTAGCCTCCGGCTTTATGACTCCTAAACCATCATTTATAATCTTGCGGCAAATGTTAGTCCTACAAAGGCGATCTACTCCCCAGGCAAGAAGGAGGTCTGCTTTGGGAAAGGGCTGTTACCGTCTTTGTTTAAACTATAAACTAAGTTTCTCCCAAAGTTAGTTCAGCCTACGCCCAGGAATGAACAAAGACAGCTTGGAGGTTAGAAGCAAGATGGAGTCAGTTAAGTTAGATCTCTTTCACTGTCTCAGTCATAATTTTGCAAAGGGGGTTTCACTTTAATCACAGTATAACAGAGGATACTGAAGGAGCCAGAGCCCTTCTTGAGAAATTATAGCCCTGAGCCACTTTCTCACAGTTGGAATTTGAACATATTTCTTTTTTTCCCTGGGCACTTGAGACTGTAGTGAAAACCAAACTTGTCACTTAATAAAACATAATGATTAATCTTGATAATAGATAACTTCAGCAGATCCTTAGTGAATTCCTTACTGTTCTTCGTTTTGATCATTAGCTATGAATCTTTCCTTGTGACATCCAGATCACACCTAAAGTTTTGGGGAGTAAGGCAAAGTTACATGGAACTATCTTAAACTTCACTCAGTGTTTTCTCTGCTCTTGGATAGAATAAATTATTATATGGTGATGTGATTTGAGGGGTACTAAGAAGCCTACCTCTTCCACAATTTTCACCTGCATTGACTCCTGAAATTCTCATCATCATAGCCATTCCTGCTAGTTTCTCCATTTTCCTCCTAAAAGATCCCTGTTGAAACATTTCAAGGGGGCAGGCCCTATTAGCAGATTACCATAAGGGGACAATGTGACATTTCTGGGGTACTCAGAACCGAGGGTGTGGGGGTGGACAAAATCCAGTAAAGGGAAGACAAAAAGGTTACTTGCTTAACTTTACCGAGAAGCATTCTGAATTCTCCAACTGAGTCAAAGCAGTGCTTCTCAAAGGTTTATACGCCTATGAGTCACTTGAGGGTCTTGTTAAAAAGGCAGATTTAAGTTCAGTAAGTCCAGGATTTGGATCTGAGATTCTGCACCTCTAACAAGCTCTCAGGTGATGCCTGTGCTGCTGTGGAGGACCACAATTTGAGAAGCAAGGAATTAAGCTCTCATTTGGCTAGAGTGACCAGTTATCCTCTTTGCTCAGAACCAAAGGGTTTATTTGGGGCACAAGATTTTTGGTGCTAAAACTGGTCCTTAGGCAAATAGGACAAGTTGGTTACCCTATATTTGTCTAAGATTGCAAAATGGTAATATAATACCAGCATAGCTATATGAAAACCTCCATTAACTGGCATGTATGAGAACTAGCTACATTAGTTAACAGCTTAACTAGGTTAATGGATTTTTCCTTCTAAAACGTGTGCACCTATTCCTTTACTCATAAGATATTCTTACCCTTCCCTATTAAGAGTGATGAAACTTGGGTTAACTAATTAAAATGAGATACAAAGGTCACAGTCTTATAACGTCTTTGATTGTTCACAATCTCACAAGACCTTAGGAGTGGTTACCCTAAACAGATCACCCTAGAAAAATGGTGGGAGATGGAGTTTGGGCTGTTCTAAGCCAAGACAGATTTTGAAATTTTTTTTTTTTTTTTTTGAGATGGAGTCTCTCAGTCTGTCACTCAGGTTGGAGTGCCATGGTGTGATCTCGGGTCACTGCAGCCTCTGCCTCCTGGGTTGAAGCGATTCTCCTGTCTCAGCCTTCCAAGTAGCTGGGACTACAGGCGTGTGCCACCACGCCTGGCTAATTTTTTATTTTTAGTAGGGACAAGGTTTCACCATGTTGTCCAGGGTGGTCTCGAACTCCTGACCTCAAGTGATCATCCCGCCTTGAGCTCCCAAACTGCTGGGATTACAGGCGTGAGCCAGCGTGCCTGGCCTTGAAAATATTTTTAATACAATTCTTGGTATAAGTGGCATTCCTGTAGTTTATTTCCCAGAAAAGCAGAGAACAAAAATTAACATGAATCATATTAATAATTTAGGATATGAGTTATTTGGATTTGTTATTCCTAATTATAACACAAAACATATTGATGTTATAAGAAACAGAATATTCTAGATGTCAGCTGCCTGTGTCATGAGTCGATCTTATAGGATAAGTTAGTAAGTGGGAAATAACAATGCCAAATAAAAATGGCTCGGGAACATATCAAACTTCATTTAAGGATAGGGTTCATTGAAAAAAAAAAAAAAAGGTAACTTCACCTCCAACCAAATCCAACTTTCCCCCTTTCCTGGCAATTATAATCATTTGTCATGGCTTCCCTTTATCGTCTTATTCTAGGTGCCACAAGGCATTCCTGGAAGTGTTTGCCTGGCAACCTGATTTAAATGAGGGGGCTTACCTAAGAGAGGATAAATTCAAGACCCACTTAAATATAGCTATCATTGGCTGGGTGTGGTGGCTCACGTCTGTAATCCCAGCACTTTGGGAGGCTGAAGTTAGTGGATCATGAGGTCAGGAGATGGAGACCATCCAGGCTAACACAGTGAAACCCCATCTCTACTAAAAATACAAAAAATTAACTGGGTGTGGTGGTGTGTGCCTGCAGTCCCAGCTACTCTGAAGGCTGAGGCAGAAGAATCGCTTGAACCCGGGAGGCGGAGGTTGCAGTGAGCCAAGATGGTTCCACTGCACTCCAGCCTGAGCAACAGAGCGAGACAGTTTCCTGTGTGTCAGGCTCTGTACTAAGTGATTTCTATGAATGATGTCATTTAATTCTTACAACCCTGGGTATTAGTATCCCTATCTTATAGATGAGCAAACTAAGACTAAAGGTGGGTAAGTTATTGACCCAGGGTCACAAGGCAGAACTGGTTTTAAAACCTGCTCTTGACGATCATATGCTACTTGACATCTCTGTGGGGCTCAGAATTCTGAAAAGAAAGATAACTCTATGGGGAGATTGAATCCCCACACTCATGCTAAGAAGTTAAACTCTTTACGTGTAAGAATAAGTGAGGAAGTCGCTAGGGGATCTTTCTCCTATGTTCTCTGCATTTATTTTCCTGTACTTTGTACTTCAGTATCTTATGGGGATCAAATATATAAATGAAAGAGTGCCTCAAGTGTCTTGGAGGAATGCTAGGAAGGCCTTCCTGTCCCTTTAAGGCATATCAAAATATTAAGAAAATCAATAAAGTATGGTGGATGAGGTTATAGGCTCAATGTTGTAGTTTGGATATACGTTTTTCTGAGTAAAAGACTACTTTTTTTTTTTTTTAATTTCAACCAGGTATTTAATTGGTCTGGCAACTGCACAATATACAAATTTCTGAAAGGTATCTCCTGTTTGAAAGCTAGCATAGTTTCATCCCAGTAATTAATTCAGACAAATACACAGAACGCAGAGAAGTCATAAATTATACATGGAAGACTCCCAAACCAATTAACAACTAAACTCAATCTATACAGCTTTCTATTTTTCAGGCTTCCGTATACATATTAAATAAATAAACAGCATGTCTACTATCAAAATGATAAAAAAATTCAAATGAATTCAAATAAATTTATTCAAATAAATTTCAATGACATTTTCAAATGAAAATATTACTGATATGGTTCACAGTTTTTCTTCTCACCTAAAATAAAGAGCTTTGCCCATGGTCTCAGGACAGAATAAAGAGAGGAGAAACCCCCTCCAGAAATAGATATGCAAATTTAAAAATATTGATCCTGGGTGTTTTTTTTGGGGGGGCTGCGGGGTGTTGGTGAGACTCAGTAGAAGCAAAAGCTCATGACTATAGTTCAGCGCCCGCCCCCCACTCACACACACACAATGCCCCCTCAAAAGCCAGGTCACAGGCTTGCAAATTAGGCAGCATTTTCCTTTCTCCAAGATCTCCTCTCCTTGACCAGATTTATATTTTCTCTCTCCCCATCTAGACCCTTTCCAAACGAAAGTTCTGTGTTAGGCGAAGCCTCCTCTATTTATGTATTGAGTTTAGGTAGTCAGAGAGAAGAGGGAACACAACTTCATGGAGCCCTTACCTGCATCAGACTTAAGAGTCAATGTTCAAAGGATAAGACCAGAAAGGAGGACATGAGAAATCATTCTCAAGAGCAAAGGGGTAGGCCCCTCATGTAAAAGACGACCTTTTAAAAAGGAAGGAGATGCTAACCATAAATTTAGGACAGCGATTACCTTAGGTAAAGGAAAGAGAGGGACAGGATAGGTGACATCATAGTAGCAGATTTACCTCAGTTACTGTCAGTGTTTTGGGTCTCAAGTTGAATGGTGGGTTTTCAGGTGTTCACTATAGTTTAGTAAATAAATAGATAACATAGAAGAAAGCCACTGTGTACCTCAGGCATCAGGAAGAAACAAAGAGAAGACAAGAAAAGGAAAGGAAGAAAGGCAAGGTCAAGAAAAGACAGGCTCTGGTGTCAGACAGATTTGAATTCTGCCACTACTGGTTGGTTATAATTTCTCTAAACCTGTTTGATTACTTATAAAATGGAAATTATATTAGGTTAAATCATATGAAATTACTGATCTTTGACCTTTTTAGATTACAACTTACCTCTCTAGGGATTCTGTGAAGACAAAATGAGATAAAGTCCAGACCTAACAAACAAGAGCTCAGTAAATGTTGTCTATTATTCTTCTCTTCATCTCTTACAATTGCAAGTACTCTGGCAACATTTATTCACACGAACCTCCTTTCTCTAGTAAGTGCCCTCCTATCTCCATCAAAAGTGGTAAAGAATTGATATAACCAATTCAAATCAAAGTTAGTCTTTGGATTATACGTAACTATTAATGATTAATGGGAAGTTGCAAGTTATCTCTCATTTTATCATTCCTGTTTTGTTTTGTTGTTTTTGAGATGAAGTCTTGCTCTTTTGCGCAGGCTGGAGTGAAGTGGTACGATCTCGGCTCACTGCAACTTTCACCCTCCAGGTTCAAGCAATTCTCCTGCCTCAGCCCCCTGAGTAGCTGGGATTATAGGTGTCTGCCACCATGGCTGGTTAATTTTTGTATTTTTAGTAGAGATGGGGTTTTGCCATATTGGCCAGGCTGGTCTCAAACTCCTGACCTCAGGTGATCCACCTGCCTTGGCCTCCCAAAGTGCTGGGATTACAGGCGTGAGCCACTGCGACTGGCCTTAATCAACTCTTATTAAAGCTAGAAAATTATTTAAAAATAAACCTCTACACACATAGGTTTGTAATTATATATTCTTGTTCTTTCTTTAGCTGACTTCCCTACACCTAGTATAACTGACTTTGAAATTCCACCTTCTAACATTAGAAGGATAATTTGCTCAACCTCTGGAGGTTTTCCAGAGCCTCGCCTCTCCTGGTTGGAAAATGGAGAAGAATTAAATGCCATCAGCACAACAGTTTCCCAAGATCCTGAAACTGAGCTCTATACTGTTAGCAGCAAACTGGATTTCAATATGACAACCAATCACAGTTTCATGTGTCTCATCAAGTATGGACATTTAAGAGTGAATCAGACCTTCAACTGGAATACACGTAAGTGACATTGTTCTGGGGAGTTTCTACTATATCGAATCTAAAAAGACAATATAGTCGTGTGTCATTTAATGATGTGGATACATTTTGAGAAATGCATCATTAGGCAATTCTGCCACTGTCTGAACATCAGAGTAGACTTACATAAACCTAGATGGTGTAGCCTACTGCACACCTAGGCTACATGGTATAGCCTAGTGCTTGAGGCTACACACCTGTACAGCATGTTACTATACTGAATACATAGGCAGTTGTAATACAATAAGTATTTGTGTATCTAAGCATATGTAAACACAGGAAAGGTACAGTAAAAATACAGTATTATAATTTTATGGGACTACCATCATATATGCGGTAGGTCATTGAAAACATTGTTATGTGGCACATTCCTGTAACTCAGCCAGATACATTTTAGAATTGTCATATTTACTTTGATAGTATTTTATAGTATTTTTAGATACACAAATGACCATGTCCTATTATGACTTATTAAAGTCACTGTGAGGGCTAAGCACAGTGGCTCACGCCTGTAATCCCAGCAGTTTGGGAGGCTGAAGTGGGAGGATCTCTTGAGCCCAGGAGTTCAAGACCAGCCTGGGAAGCATGATGAGATCCTGACTCTATGAAACATTTAAAAAATTAGTCGGGCTTGGTGGCACATACGTGTAGTCCCAGGTACTCGAGAGGGTAAGGTGGGTGGCTTATTTGAGCCCAGGTGTTCAAAGTTGCAGTGATCTATGATCATGCCACTGAACTCCAGCCTGGGCAACAGAGCGAGACCCTGTCTCTAAAAGAAATAAATAAAATAATTTTAAAAATAAATTTAAAAAATAAAGTCACTGTGCAAGGTGTGATAATGTTACTAATTTTCTTTTTCTTTTAGTTTTTTGAGACCACCTCACCCTGTTGCCCAGGCGGTAGTGCAGTGGCACAACCTCCGCCTTCCGGGTTCAAGCAATTCTTCTGCCTCAGCCTCCCCAATAGCTGGGATTACAGGCACCAGCCACCACCCTCGGCTGATTTTTTCTATCTTTGGTAGAGATGGGTTTCACCATGTTGGCCAGGCTGGTCTTGAACTCCTGACCTCGTGACCCACCCACCTCAGCCTCCCAAAGTGCTGGGATTATAGGCATGAGCCACTGTGCCTGGCCTTATTTTCTTGTAATAAATATTCTAAAATTTATATATACTAATAACCACTATCCATCATCTTAAAAAGTTATTGTAACAATATTGGTATTGAAAGTATTAAAATGTGCCCTTTGGAATTGCCCTTAGGGATTTGGTACTTTCTTTTAGGGCATGCCACCCACATGGTTCCATGGTACCAAACAACTGTTTCTGTTTTGTTTTGTTTTTTTTTTTTTTTTTTTGTGGGTGAATGTGCTTTTTAAGAACTATTGGTTCCTTCTGAACCAAGTCTGGGAAAGGTGAGTGACAAACTCCTTGAAGACAACGCCTGAAAAGAGGTCATTTTGGAGCAAATATTTTACCCTACTGGTAGTAAACTCAGAGAATTCTCTTTCCCCAAGAGGTGAAATCACTTGAAAATATAAAATGAAATCGTTGGGTTTACATGAATATATGCATCTTAGGCCTATAATGGCTTAAGATGGCTTACAAGGTGAACTCAGATGCTCAAAATATTAATACTTGTTTAAATTGTATGGCTGATCATACAGAAGACCACAGTCTCTCTCCTACCCCTAGCCCCACTCCCAAGGATAGGTTTTGTGACTATAGTAAGAAACAATACACTGAGTTTGATATACAGTTGCACATAAGTATATAGCACAATATATATTATATAGTATGTCTTTACTTATAGTTGTGAAGTGGATAATTTATTTTAGATGGTCTAGTAATTCATGCTAGTATATGATTTACTCTAGATCTTTCAGTGTTACAGCAGATTCTTTTTTTTGGGGGGGATGGAGTCTCGCTCTGTTGCCCAGGCTGGAGTGCAGTGGCGTGATCTCGGCTCACTGTGACCTCTGCCTCCCAGATTCAAGCAATTCTCCTGCCTCAGCCTCCTGTGTAGCTGGGACTATAGGTGCCGGCCACCACGCATGGCTAATTTTTGTATTTTTAGTAGAGACGGGGCTTCACTATGTTGGTCAGGCTGGTCTCAAACTCCTGACCTTAGGTGATCCGCCCACCTCAGCCTCCCAAAGTGCTGGGATTATAGGTGTGAGCCACCGCGCCCAGCTACAGCAGATTCTTTATTTTCCTCAATGAGATAAAATTTCGTGGGAAAATTAGGTCAACTATAAACCAAACATTGACATGACTATTGATACTCCAAACTTATCAGTCTCAGTCATCTTTTATGTGTTGTAAAAATTTTATTAAAATGAGGCTTCAATCATAAAGATAGTTTATTAAGTCTCTATTTTTACCTTCTTGTTATAGAATTATTTAACGAATTTTATATTATTCTGATTGAAGGTAGAAAACAGTAGAGTCCTGATTATTAAATCAGTAATACTAGCTTGAACTGCATTTTGATTTGGACATTATTTATATTGGAATATGGATATATGTGACATTCTAGGACAGGGGTTGGCAAATTTTTTCTGAATAGAGCCAGATAGTAAATATTTTAAGCTTTGCAGTCACAGTCTCTGTTGCAACAAGTCAATTCTGCTGGTTGTAGCATGAAAGCAGCCACAGACAAGACATAAATGTTCCAACAAAATTTCGTTCTTTCTTTCTTTGCTTTTTTTTTTTTTGGAGACAGAATTTCGCTCTCATTGCCCAGGCTGGAGTGCAATGGTGTGGTCTCGGCTCACTGCAACCTCTGCCTCCTAGGTTCAAATGATTCTTCTGCCTCAGCCTCCCAAGTAGATGGGATTACAGGTGCCTGCCACCACAATTGGCTAATTTATGTATTTTCTTAGTGGAGATGGGGTTTCACCATGTTGGCCAGGCTGGTCTCGAACTCCTGACCTGGCTGGTCTCGAACTCCTGACCTCAGGTGATCCATCTGCCTCAGCCTCTCAAAGTGATTACAGGCGTGAGCCACCACGCCCAGCCACAAAATTTCATTTTTAAGAACAGGTGGCAGGACAGGTTTGGCCCATGTGCTATAGTTTGCTAACTTAAAGATTTTGTGGTTGGAGAGCTTTGGTGTATAAATGTCTGAAATCTCATTAATTGGACTGTGTGGGGATTCTTTAGAATAAGATTCAAAAGCAAATAATGCATTTATGGGAGGTCAAGGGCTGACTGCACTAACAAATATACATTAGATGTACAGTTCATAGAAATGTTACAGGTCAATGTGAGTAAAGTTTTGACGTGAAAATGTATTAGTCTGTTTCCATGCTGCTGATAAAGACATACCCAACACTGGGCAACTTACAAAATAAAGAGGTTTAATTAGACTCACAGTTCCACGTGGCTGGGGAGGCCTCACAATCATGGCAGCAGGCAAGGAGGAGCAAGTCATGTCTTACATGGATGGCAGCAGCTAAAAAGAGAGCTTGTTATAAGGAAACTCCTGTTTTTAAAACTATCAGATCTCGTAAGACTCATTAATTATCACAAGGACAGAGCAGGAAAGACTCGCCCCCATAATTCAGTCACTTCCCACTGGGTTCCTCCCATGACATGTGGAAACTGTGGGAGTTATAATTCAAGATGAGATTTGGGTGGGGAAACAGCCAAACCGTATCAGTAAATAACTGGTCTGGAAAAAAAAAAAAGCCCAAATATATTAATTAAGCAGATTGGGCATATGATTCTTTTTAGTGTAGTCCCACCAAATTTGTTTTCCCTTGATAAACTGGAAGGAGATAAATCTAGGAGAGTCATACTCATGGTATCTAATAAGCTACATGTGCAGATGCCCTCACACAGCTGTGCACCTTGGATTCTGGGTCTGCCCCTGTGGGGTGTTACCAGGTTTCTAACAGGTGTCATGACAGACCTGGCTTGCTGCTACCGAGGCCTCCCTCTTTCCCTCACACACATACTCTCTCTAGGTTGAATGAGGCTTGTGGATGGGTGTGGAGTGGAAGCCAGGAATGAGCTGAAGCCTGTGAAACTTCTAGACGCCCAAGATAACAGCAATGGCTTGTTATTTTTTGTGTCATTCTAATCTGTAGAGGTCAACTCTGATAATCACTTGATGTCTCTATGCAATCTGGTGTTTTAGAGAAAAAAGAAAAACCAACTCTCCTATCTTTAAGTGGTAGATACACTATGATTAAACAGGTGTTTTAGAATGATTACTGTGACAGCAATGTGCAGGAATTATTAGAGCCTAGGAAACCTGAGGCAAAGAGACCGGTTTGCAGGCTACTAAGTGGGAGATGAGAAAAATCTCAGCTAAGGCAGTTGCTGCAAGAGATTTGGGAAAAAGCAGTAAGTTCCAGAGATATTCTGAATATAGAACAGAAAATACATGGGAGCCTACTGGGAAGTGAGCACAAAGAAAATACCACACTCTTATTTGGGTAACTAAATGGTATTGTTATTCACTGAAATGGGAGAATACAGGCGGTAGATATGATCTGGAAAGCATGCAGTAAATTCAGTTTTAATCAAGTGGAGATTCTGGCATCCATCCAATATATAAATTTAAAAATCAGATGACATTTTTGTTTTTTTCTTTGTCTTTTTCTGAGATGGAGTCTTACTCTGTCACCCAGACTGGAGTGCAGTGGCGTGATCTCAAATCATTGCAACCTCTGCCTCCTTGGTTCAAGCAATTCTCTTTTTGTTTTTTTTTTTTTCTGAGACGGAGTTTTGCTCTGTGGCCCAGGCTGGAGTGCAGTGGCATGATCTCAGCTCACTGTAAACTCCACTTCCCAGGTTCACACCATTCTCCTGCCTCAGCCTCCCGAGTAGCTGGGACTACAGGTGCCCGCCATCACGCCCGGCTAATTTTTTGTATTTTTAGTAGAGACGGGGTTTCACCATGTTAGCCAGGATGGTCTCAATCTCCTGACCTCGTGATCCGCCTGCCTCGGCCTCCCAAAGTGCTGGGATTACAGGCGTGAGCCACCACGCCCGGCCTCAAGCAATCCTCTTGCTTCAGCCTCCCGAGTACCTGGGATTGTAGGCATGCACCTCCATGCCCCGATAAGTTTTTGTATTTTTAGTAGAGACACGGTTTCACTATGTTGGCCAGGCTGGTCTCAAACTCCTGACCTCAGGTGATCTGCCCACCTTGGCCTACCAAAGTGCCGGAATTACAGGTGTGAGCCACTGCACCCGGCCTCAAATGGCATTTCAAATCTTGGGTGTGGAGGATATAACCCAGGAAGACTGGGGCCAGGAAGGGCAAAATGGGACCACAAACAGAACCATGGGAACAACAATAATTAGAGGACAAGAAGAGGAAGAAAAGTCTTCGAACCAAAGCCTTCAGAGAAAACCGAGTGCAACAAACAGAAACAGAAGGATGTGGTGTCACAGAAGTCCAAGAAGGAGAAGATTCCAACTGGCCAAATGCTGATGAGAAGTCCAATAAGAGAAATAATAAAACTAGGCCAGGCGCAGTGGCTCACGCCTGTAATCCCAGCACTTTGGGAGGCCGAGACGGAAGGATCACCTGAGGTCAGGAGTTTGAAACCAGCCTGGCCAACATGGGGAAACCCTGACTCTACTGAAAATACAAAAATTAGCTGGGTATGGCGGCATGCCCCTGTAATCCCAGCTACTTGGGAGGCTGAGGCAGAAGAATTGCTTGAACTTGGGAGGCAGAGACTGCAGTGAGCTGAGGTCGCATTACTGCACGCCTGGCCTGGGGAACAGAGTGAAACTCCATCTCAAATAAATAAATAAATAAATACATAAATTAAAAAAAAAAAAACTTACCACTAGGTTTGGTAATCAGAAAAGTAAAAACAGGGATCTTGGACTCCCTGGTCCCTGGACCCTGTCTCCAGCCCAGCCTTGCTAGCTCCGCATCTGGTGCATGCTCCTGCCTCTGACTCAATGGTTTGCAGGAAAAATTTAGAGAGCACAACAGTGGCAATTCACAATGAAGAGATCTACTGCAAATCCTGCTATGGAAAGGAATATGGGCCAAAAGGCTATGGTTATGGCCAGGGCGCTGGCATGCTTAACATGGCGAGAGGCTGGGCATCAAGCCAGAGTGTTCAGCCTCACAGGCCTACAACAAATCCAAACACTTCTAAATTTGCTCAGAAATCTGGAGGTGCTGAGAACTGTTCCAGATGTGGGGACTCGGTATATGCTGCCGAGAAGATAATTGGAGCTGGAAAGCCCTGGCACAAAAACTGTTTCTGATGTGCAAAGTGTGGGAAGAGTCTTGAATCAACAACTCCACTGAAAAAGAAGGTGAAATCTATTGTAAAGGATGCTATGCAAAGAACTCTGGGCCCAAGGGATTTGGCTATGGCCAAGGAGCAGGGGCTCTTGTTCATGCCCAGTAAGGTGTAAACCCAGAACTAAGCATCACACACTGATAATCTCTTCGTTATCTAGGCACAGATAATCTTTAACACTAAACTACTGTGAAATTCTACCAGCATTGAGTACTGTATATTACCCTGTACTTGGATAGGCTGGCTAACTCAGAGGGAGAGAGCACTGTATCGTACCATTTTGCTTTATTCACCAGCATTTTTGGGGAACATTTCTTTTATGTTTTAAATAAAACTTCAGCATGGGAAAAAAAAAAGGAAAAACAATAAGTTACTAAATATTCATTTATTTGTAAGCCATTTCAGAGAAACCAGATGAGCTGCTATAATTTGTGTCCCTGCCCTTTTTCCAGATGTTGCTAACTATTCTTCAAAGCAGCTGAAGAATAAACAGTGTAGCTGCTGCTCCTGATCTGGAGGCATGGACCAGCAGCACCATATCCACCAACACCTTTCTCCTCCCCACCCTCATCCTTCCTGTGTACTTCTTGTGCTCTGTGGGGCTGAAACTACAGCTGATAACCTTCAGAGCTCTCTTCTAGGATGGTCCCACCTAATACCAAGCCATATCCACACTTAGTTCTTTGCTGGACTTGTTCTGTATTTCCAGTAGCTCTAGGCTAGAGGGTGAAAAACCTGTACCCGAAAGTGAATGCAAAGTGGCTCCTGCAGCTCCTTAGGGCAGCTACTGTGAGGTAAGGATGTGTGTGATGTGTATGTGTTGAGAGACAATATGGTAGGAGAAAGGGAGAAGGCATGACAGAGCTAGAGAAGGAAAAATAAAGTATACATAGAACACAACATCAACCAGTTAGTAGTAATACATAGTTATAATCAGCTATAAAAGTGAGATATTACAAGATGGCTTGTAAAAGATTTCCTTAAAATCTTCCTTATATCAACTTAACTCAGTAAATGCAGACATTCAAAGTGCCTTTTTCACTTTTAGTATCTGACATCTGAATATTAGTTGCCCACAAGTATGTGCCTGATTGAAGAATTATGCAAGAAAAATGCTAGCAGCTGCATACTGGAGAGGTGACCAGACAAAGAATACTCCACAGTTGCATCAATAGAAAAGGCACAGAATGAATATCAGGCAGTAGGAAACACATTACAGCTGACATTATTCTTTTCCCTCCACAGCCAAGCAAGAGCATTTTCCTGATAACCTGCTCCCATCCTGGGCCATTACCCTAATCTCAGTAAATGGAATTTTTGTGATATGCTGCCTGACCTACTGTAAGTACTATCATACTATCATCCTGATCTCAATTCTGGAAGATCAAACTTTATTAGCATGGTTCAGCAGCTCTCTGAGATTTTAGCCTATTCTCTCTCATATTTACAGAAAGTTTATGGAAACATTAGCATCTCCTTTACTTGTCTCAGTAAGTTCTGTTCATTCACTGGACATTTTCCGACACCTCCTACACGTGTGGCACTCTACTAGGCATTGGAATTACAGAGCTAAGAAGTCGCTGCCCTCAAGTCACATTCTAGTTTAGTCCATCTATTTTTTCCTTAACTTCATATATTTTTGGAGACTGGGGTTTGCTAACTAATTTGAAAATGTTTCTGATGCTAAATGATATTCTAATTTTTTTTAAGGGCTAGTCAATTTGGCAGGTGAGTTGTTAAACACTCCTTAGTGAATTCCAACTTCCATGGCCACCATCCTTCTGATACTCTAATTTTGATTTGGAGTTAGAGAAAAGGCAAATTGACAAATTTTGGGGCCAAGAATCATTTTCTTGGAGGAGGGTAAGATGCACTGATACAGTCGAGAAACTACATGGCTACAGGTGATCCTACCAATTCTCAGTTCTTGGGCCGGGCAAGGTGGCTCACGCTTGTAATCCCAGAACTTTGGGAGGCCAAGGTAGGTGGATCACTTAAGGTCAGGAGTTTGAGACCAGCCTGGCCAACATGGTGAAACCTCCGTCTCTACTAAAAATTCAAAAATTAGCCAGGCATGGTGGTGTGCACTTGTAGCCCCAGCTACTTAGGAGGCTGAAGCAGAAGAATCACTTGAACCCAAGAACCCAGGAGGCGGAGACTGCAGTGAGCCAAGATCACGCCATTGCACTCCAGCCTGGGCGACAGAGTGAGATTCCATCTCAAAAAACAAACACACACATTTTCAGTTCTTTTTTTTTTTTTTTTTTTTGAGATGGAGTCTCACTCTGTCACCCAGGCTGGAGTGTAGTGGCCCAATCTCTGCTCACTGCAGCCTCCACCTCCCAGGTTCAAGCAATTCTCCTTCCTCAGCCTCCTGAGTAGCTGGGATTATAGGTACGTGCTGCCACACCGGCTAGTTTTGTTTTTTTTTTTTTTGTTTTTTTTTGTATTTTTAGTAGAGATGGGGTTTCACCGTGTTGGCCAGGATGGTCTTGACCTCCTGACCTCGTTATCCGCCCGCCTTGGCTTTCCAAAGTGCTAGGACTTCTTGTCTTTGTAATTTCAGTGCCTAGTAGAGTGCCACACACATAGGTGTCTGGAAAAATGTCGATTTTCTCAGTTCTTTAGAATACATTTTTGGATGAAAGATCAGGAGTGGCTGATGAAAGAAGAGATTTCTAAGATATTTTACCCTATGAATTTACACTTTGGGTGTTAGACATATGCTGCCCTCAATCTCTATGATTAAATGAAGAGGAACTGCTAGTTCTATGGTCTGAAATAAGGCCATAATCACTATGAAGGGGTACCAATTCTTGAGTAGAAATCATGTACGCTGATCAAATAAAATTGGAAGATCAACATCTGCTGATTTTCCCAGGATTTAGCACCAAAAAAACCCCAAAGCTCAGTGAATTCCTTAGAGAGTATGTGCTGTTAACAACTTATCCCAAGGGTAGGATAAAGAGGTCTGGTGGGCTCAAGGATGTTTCTAATACCAACTATCCAGTGTTACCCCTTTAATTCAGGGGTTCTCATCCTCAACATTATTGGCATTTTGGGCAAGATAATTCTTTGTTTTGGAGTGCTGTTCTGTGCACTGTAGGATGTTTAGCAGCTTCCTTAGCCTCTAATCACTACATGCCAGTAGCACTCCTTGCCCGTTGTGACAACCAAAAATATCCCCAAGCATTGCCAAATGTCCCCTTGACAAAGAGATGAAGAGGCAGGTTGTAAATCACCCCTGATGTAAGAACCACTGCTCCAGTTCTAAGTCAGTCTGAAGCCTTGCTAAAGTAAATATTAATATATGGGCACAATTCAAGGGAAACTCACTAATCATTTTTATTGTTTGTTCTTGTCTCCAAGGTTTTGCCCCAAGATGCAGAGAGAGAAGAAGGAATGAGACATTGAGAAGGGAAAGTGTACGCCCTATATAACCGTATCGGCAGAAGCAAGGGGCTGAAAAGATCTGAAGGTAGCCTCCGTCATCTCTTTGGGGATACATGGATCATGGGGATCATGAGGCAGTGTTCCCTTACTCTTAGTAGTAAATTTAAGCTGTTTTACCTACTACCTCACCTTCCCAAAAATCTTTTGGATTAAGCTGGACAGTTATAAGATGGCTGGCATCCCTCTCCTTTCTCCCCATATGTAATTTGCTTAATGCAACCTCTTCTTTTGCCATGTTTCCATTCTGCCATATTGAAATATTCCCCTATCAGCCAATTCAATGTCTGTCATTACCTATTAAACACTAATTTGAGTTTGTCTTGAATATTCCTGTGGTAACTTCTTATTCTGATCATTCATTTTTCCCTATATCTCTCAGTATTGATGGACATGGGTTGGGGCCACTTTGTATTAATATGGTAACGTTTTCATTGGTTTCTCTGCCTCTTACTAACAGACTCATCCTACTGACCAATCATGGAGCCAAATTTCATAAAGAATTACTCTGTCATGTCATTTTCCCACTCAAAAACTCAGAAGAGACCCCCGTGCCTACAGGAAAAGCTTCAAAGCTTTTTAACTTTCTACATTCCACCTGATCTCTTGTCTAAACACCCTTGAGTTCTGTCAGTTGTTCCTCACATGGCATGGTTTCCAGAGCCTCACATGAATGGGGAAAACGGAACCCAAGACTTTAGATTTGGTCTTAATGACTCTACATACAATGAGATAATTATTATCTGGGGTCTGGAATGTCCATTCTGTTAATAGATCCTAACACAGCACTAGCTTTAGTGAGTCACAAATCCCCAGGTATTTTCATGCAAGAGAAACTTACATGGGACATTAGAATCCAAGAGACTGATACCAGGTCTAAGGTAGTTACAAGCCTCCCTAAACAGTTCAGCTTTGACTTGTGAAGATTGGAGTAACACCAGTATAAGAAACTAGTCTACAAAATTATCTTTAAAAATAAAAGCAAGAATTGTCCTGGGCAGGAGGGGGAAATAGAAATAAAAATGAAAAATAATACCTGAGACTTATACAACAGGTTGTTTTGCAAAAACACGATTTCATCTTAGTCTTATAAAAATCTCTATGAGCAAGATCTATTTCCATTTTATGGGAGAGAAACCAGAGGCTCCCAGAGGTTAACTAATTTGCTTGTAAGGTCATACAGAGGAGGAATAAAACCAAGATTCAAACTGGACATCAAGTTCAGGTTCCTTTCCCTACAACCTGCCAGCCTATACATATTTTCCTCCAAGGCAGTCTCTCAACTTCCTATCCTGTTTTTTCACTGCCACTGAATGCTTGCTCACTCCTCAGAATGTCCTTTCCAGGATGTTGCTGTGGCTCAGTTCTGTCATTATTTTCTTGACTTTCTATCTAAAAAGTCTTCTGCTCAGTCTGCTGATACTTCAGAATGAAGCCATGTATCCAATCTTCTACACAAGGCCTTCTGTGGCCATCTTATCCAGCTCAAGCAGTTCCACCTGTAGAGCACATCTCATACCACTAGCATAGGTTGATTTTCATGTACCACATCTTCCTTCCATCCTTTACCGGACTGTATGTAGGCTTACTGAGAAAAGCAACCATGCCTGATAGCCCCATACATAGAATCTGAGTACCTTCATCAAGCATGTGGTAGTTTAGTAATAGCTGGTAATAACTAAACATTTGCCTGATCAGTATTTCATGTGATAAAAATCGCCAGAGTAGTTTTAAGTTCTCTCATAATTTAGCTCTCCCTTCATATTCTTCAGCTATCAAGGTTACTATGTACAAGTTGGGAATACCCTTGATCTTGAGATTAAAATCTAAATTAAGAGATTAACATTAAAATTTATATGTATGTGGATATATAAATTTAAGATGTTCTCCTCCTTTGCCAATATAGGGTTTGATGTAATCATTTGTTTTCTCAGGTCCCAGCTCCGTTTGCAATTGACCTCTTCTGGGAACTTCTTCAGATGGACAAGATTACCCCACCTTGCCCTTTATATATCTGTTCTTAGATGCTTCTTCACTTCAGTTGCTTTGCAGGAAGTGTCTAGAGGAATATGGTGGGCACAGAAGTAGCTGTGGTGACCTTGATCAACAGGTTTTGAAATGCAGAATTCTTGAGTTCTAGAAGGGACTTTAGAGAATACCAGTGTTATTAATGACAAAGGCACTGAGGCCCAGGGAGGTGACCAGAATTATAAAGGCCAGAGCCAGAATCCAGATGTCCTAACTCTGGTGCTCTTTCATCAGTTTGACTGTGGCCTGTTAACTGGTGTATACATATACATGTCAGGCAAAGTGCTGCTGGAAGTAGAATTTGTCCAATATCAGGTCAACTTCAGAGACTGTCTGATTTCCTAATGTCAGAGTAGATTTTATATTGCTGTTTACAAAAGCCCAATGCAATGCATAGGAAGTATGGCATGAACATCTTTAGAAGGCTAATGGAAATATTATTGGTGTTTACCCAGTATTCCATTTTTTTCATTGTGTTCTCTATTGTTGCTCTCTCACTCTCCCATGAGACACAGGAGAAAGTAGAACTATCCAAAACTAATTTCCTCTGACATGTAAGATGAATGATTTATGTACCTCAAAGCAGTAGTCAAGGAGGAAAGGGATAGTCCAAAGACTTAACTGGTTCATATTGGACTGATAATCTCTTTAAATGGCTTTATACTAGTTTCACCTCATTTGTAAACCATTTATGAGAAAGTTCTCATTTAAAATGAGATCATTGTTTACGGTGTACGCACTAAACAGTAAGCTATCTTCAAATGTCTAAGGTAGTAACTTTTCACATAGGGCCTCCTTAGATCCCTAAGATGGCTTTTCCTCCTTTTTATTTCTGGGTCTTTCCGACATCAGCAGAGAACTGGAAAGACATAGCCAACTGCTGTCATGTTACTCATGACTCCTTTCTCTAAAACTGCCTTCCACAATTCACAAGACCAGAAGTGGATGCTGTGGGGAAAAGAAAGGGAGATCACACTTACTGTGTCTATATAGAAAGAAGTAGACATAAGAGACTCTATTTTCTGTATTTGAGATGCTGTTAATCTGTGACCCCACCCCCAACCTTGCCCTTGCAAGAGACATGTGCAGTGGTGACTCAAGGTTTAATGGATTTTGGGCTGTGCAGGGTGTGCTTTGTTAAACAAGTGCCTGAAGGCAGTATGCTTGTGAAAAGTCATCACCATTCTCTTAATCTCAAGTACCCAGGGACACGTACACTGCCAAAGGTCACAGGGACCTCTGCCTAGGAAAGCTAGATATTGTCCAAGGTTTCTCCCCATGTGATAGTCTGAAATATGGCCTCATGGGAAGGGAAAGACCTGACCGTCCCCAGCCTGACACCCGTGAAGGGTCTGTGCTGAGGAGGACTAGTATAAGAGAAAAAGAAGGCCTCCTGGCAGTTGAGATAGAGAAAAGCATCTGTCTCCTGCCTGTCCCTGGGCAATTGAACATCTCAGTGTAAAACCCGATTGTATGTTCTGTTTACTGAGAAAGGAGAAAACTGCCTCAGGGCTGAAGGTGGGACGTGCTAGTGGCAATGCTGCTCTTTATGCACTAAAAAGGTTTATGGAGATGTCTGCATATGCATATCAAGGCACAGCACTTTTCCTTAAACTTATTCATGTCACAGAGATCTTTATTCACATGTCTTACTGCTGACCTTCTCCCTACTATGATCCTATTATCCTGCCACTTCCCTTTTTCTAAGATGGTAAAGATAATGATCAATAAATACTGAGGGAACTCAGAGACCGTGTGGGTCCTCTGTATGCTGAGTGCCGGTCCCCGGGGCCCACTTTTTTCTTTCTCTATACTTTGTCTCTGTGTCTCATTTCTTTTCTCAAGTCTCTCGTTCCACCTAACGAGAAATGCCCACAGGTGTGGAGGGGCAGGCCACCCCTTCATCTGGTGCCCGACGTGGGTGCTTTTCTCTAAGGTGAAGGTACGCTCGAGCTTGGTCATTGAGGACAAGTCGACGAGAGACTCCTGAGTATGTCTACAGTCAGCCTTGCGGTAAGCTTGTGCACTCGGAAGAACCTAGGGTTACAATGGGGCAAACTAAAAGTAAATATGCCTCTTATCGCAGCTTTATTAAAATTCTCTTAAAAAGAGGGGGAGTTAAAGTCTGTACCAAAAATCTAATTATACTATTTCAAACAATAGAACAATTTGGTCCATCATTTCCAGAACAGGGAACTTTAGAACTAAAAGATGGGAAAAAATTGGCAAAGAATTACAACAAGCAAGTAGGGAAGGTAAAATCATCCCACTTACAGTATGGAATGATTGGGTCATTATTAAAATAGCTTTAGAACCGTTTCAAACAGAAGATAGTGTTTCAGTTTCTGATGTCCCTGAAAGTTGTGCAGTAGATTGTGAAAAAGAGGCAGGGATAGAATCCTGGACAGGAACGGAAAGTTCACATTGTAAATGTGAATCAGAGCCGGTAATGGCTCGGTCAATGCAAAATGTTGGCGATAATCAATTACAGGAGGTGATAGATCCTGAAACGTTAAAATTAGAAGAAAAAGGTCCAGAATTAGCAGAGCCATCAGAGTCTAAACCACGATGGCCAACTCCTCTTACAGCAGCTCAGATGCCTGTAACTTTACAACCTCAAATGCAGGTTAAACAAGTACAAACTCCAAAAGAAGATCAAATAGAAAAAGATAGAGTCTCTGTCATGGCAATGCCAATCCAAATACAGTGTCCACAATATCAGCTGGTAGAAAATAAGACCCAGCCGCCAGTAGCCCATCAATAGTGGCCACCAGACAAACTTCAGTATCGGCTGCCCGCAGAAAATCCATATGGACAGCCAGGAATGTTTCCAGCGCCACAGGGCAGGGCGCTAAATCCTCAGCTGCCCACCATGGAACGTAATCCTACAGCACTGCCTAGTGGACAGAGTGGTGCATTACATAAAATTATTGATGAGGCAAGAAAATAAGGAGCTATTGAAGCGTGGCAATTCCCAGTAATATTAGAATCAAGACCACCTGGAGAAGGGGCCGAAGAGGGAGAGCCTCCCATAGCTGAAGCCAGATATGAGTCCTTTTCTATAAAAATGCTAAAAGAAAGAGGGAGTAAAACAGTATGGACCTGACTCTCCTCACATGAGAACATTATTAGATTCCATTGCTCATGGACATAGACTCATTCCTTATATTGGGAGATTCTGGCAAAATCATCACTCTCACTCTCTTAATTTTTACAATTTAAGACTTGGTGGATTGATGGGGCACAAGAATAGGTCCTAAGAAATATGACTGCCAATCCTCCAATTAACATAGACGTAGATCAACTATTAGGAACAGGTCAAAATTGGAGCACTGCTAAGTCAACAAGTAATAATGCCAAATGAGGCCATTGAGCAAATTAGGGCTATCTGCCTTAGGGCCTGGGAGAAAATCCAAGACCCAGGAACTGCCTGCCCCTCCTTCAATACAACAAGACAAGGCTCTAAAGAGCCCTACCCTGATTTTGTAGCAAGGCTTCAAGATGCTGCTCAAAAGTCAGTTACCGATGAGAATGCCCGAAAGGTCATAGTGGAGTTGATGGCGTATGAAAACGCCAATCCTGACTGTCAATCAACCATTAAGCCATTAAAAGGAAGGGTCCCAGCAGGATCAGATGTAATCTCAGAGTACGTTAAAGCCTGTGATGGAATTGGAGAGGCTATGCATAAAGCTATGCTTATGGCTCAAGCAATCACAGGAGTTACTTTAGGAGGACAAGTTAGAACATTTGGGGGAAAATGTTATAATTGTGGTCAAATTGGTCATCTAAAAAAGAATTGCCTAGTCTCAAATAAACAAAATATAACTACTCAAGCTACTACAACAGATAAAGAGCCACCTGGCCTATGTACAAGACGTAAAAAGGGAAAACATTGGGGTAATCAATGTCGTTCTAAATTTGATAAAAATGGGCAACCAGTCGGGAAACAGAGGAGGGCCAGCCTCAGGCCCCGCAACAAACTGGGGCATTCCCAATTCAGCCCTTTGTTCCCCAGGGTTTTCAGGAACAACCCCCACTGCCACAAGTGCCTCAGGGAATAAGCCAGTTATCACAATAGGCAATTATCCCCCCCACACAAGTGGCAGTGCAGCAGTAGATTTATGTACTATACAAGCAGTCTCTCTGCTTCCAGGGGAGCCTCCACGAAAAATCTCCACAGGGGTATACGGCCCATTGCCTGAGGGGACTGTAGGACTAATCTTAGGAAGATCAAGTTTAAATCTAAAGGGAGTTCAAATTCGTACTGGTGTGGTTGATTCAGACTATAAAGGCAAAATTCAATTGGTTATTAGTTCCTTAATTCCTTGGAGTGCCAGTCCAGGAGACAGGATTGCTCAATTATTACTCCTACCTTATATTAAAGTTGGAAACAGTGAGATAAAAAGAACAGGAGGGTTTGGAAGCACTGATCCTGTAGGAAAGGCTGCATGTTGGGCAAGTCAGGTCTCTGAGAGCAGACCTGTGTGTAAGGCCATTATTCAAGGAAAACAGTTTGAAGCATTGGTAGACACTGGAGCAGATGTCTCTGTCATTGCTTTAAATCAGTGGCCAGAAAATTGGCCTAAACAAAAGGCTGTTACAAGACTTGTCGGCGTAGGCACAGCTTCAGAAGTGTCTCAAAGTACAATGATTTTACATTGTTTAGGGCCAGATAATCAAGAAAGTACTGTTGAGCCAATGATTATTTCAATTCCTGTTAGTCTATGGGGTTAAGATTTGTTACAACAGTGGGGTGCAGAAATCATTATGCCTGCTCCATTATACAGCCCCATGAGTCAAAAAATCATGACTAAGATGGGATATATACCAGGAAAGGGAATGGGAAAAAATGAAAATGGCATTAAAGTCCCAATTGAGACTGAGAAAACTCAAGAAAGAAAAGGAATAGGGTATCCTTTTTAGG